CTTTTGCCATCTATTGTTCCCAGCATTAGGCTCTTCTCCAGGGAGTCCTTCCTTCTCATTAGGTGGCCAGAGTATTTGAGTTTCATCTTCAGTATCTGGCCTTCTAAAGAGCAGTCCTCTCTTCTCCTCTAGGACTGACAGGTTTGATCGCCTTGCAGTCCAAGGGACTCGCAGGACTCTCCTCCAGCACCACAATTCAAAGGCCTCAATTTTTCGGCGCTCAGCCTTCCTTATGATCCAACTTTCACAGCCATACATTGCAACTGGGAAAACCATAGCCTTGACTATACACACTTCTTTTGGCAGGGTTATGTCTCTGCTTTTTAGTATGCTGTCTACATTTGCCATAGCTTTCCTCCCCAGGAGAGAGCGTCTTTCTTGGCTGCAGTCCCCGTCTGCAATGATCTTGGAGCCCAGGAAAATGAAATCTGTCACTACCTCCATTTCTTCCCCATCTATTTTCCAGGACCAGATGCCATGATCTTAGTTTTCTTAATGTTGAGTTTCAAGCCGACTTTTGCACTTTCCTCCTTCACCATCATCAAGAGGCTCTTTAGTTCCTCTTCACTTTCTGCCATTAGAGTTGTATCATCTGCATATCTGAGGTTGTTGATATTTCTCCTAGCAATTCCGACTTGTGATTCATCTAGCCCCGCCTTTCACATGATGTGCTCTGCATATAAGTTAAAGAGGCAGGGCGACAGTATACAGCCTTGCCGTACTCCTTTCCCAGTTTTGCACCAATCAATAGTTCCGTGTCCAGTTCTCACTGTTGCTTCTTGACCAACATACAGGTTTCTCAAGAGACAAATAAGATGGTCTGGTACTCCCATCTCCTTAAGAACTTGCCACAATTTGTTGTGATCCACACAATCAAAGGCTTTAGCAAAGTCAATGAAGCAGAAGTAGATGTTTTTCTGGAACTCCCTAGCTTTCTCCATGATCCAGCGTATGTTGGCAATTTGATCTCTAGTTCCTCTGCCTCTTCAGAATCCTGCCTGTACTTCTGGTAGTTCTCGGGCCACATACTGCTGGAGCCTAGCTTGTAGGATTTTGAGCATAACTTTGCTAGCATGTGAAATGAGTGCAATGGTGTGGTAGTTTGAACATTCTTTGGCATTGCCCTTCTTTGGATTGGGAATGTAAACTGACCTTTTCCAATCCTGTGGCCACTGCTGAGTTTTCCAAATTTGCTGGCATATTGAGTGTAGCACTTTTACTGCATTGTCTTTTAGGATTTTGAATAGCTCAGCTGGAATACTGTCACCTCCACTAGCTTTGTTGTTGCTCAGACTTCCTAAGGCCCATTTGACTTCACATTCCAGGATGTCTGGCTCGAGGTCAGTGACCACCCCATCGTGGTTATCAGGGACGTTAAGCTCTTTCTTGTATAGTTCCTCTGTGTAATCTTGCCACCCCTTCTTAATCTCTACTGCCTCTGTTAGCTCCCTATCATTATGGTCCTTTATCATGCCCATCTTGGCATGAAATGTTCCCTTCATATCTCCAATTTTCTTGAAGAGATCTCTGGTCCTCCCTATTCTATTCTTTTCTTCTATTTCTTTGCACTGTTCATTTAAGAAGGCATTCTTATCTCTTCTAGCTATTCTCTGGAATTCTGCATTCAATTGGGTGTATCCTTTCCTTTCCTTCTTTGTCTTTCACTTCCCTTCTTTCCTCAGCTATTTGTAAAGCTTCTTCAGACAGCCATTTTGCTTTCTTGCATTTCTTTTTCTTTGGGATGGTTTTAGTTGCTACCTCTTGTACAATGTTGTGAACCTCCGCCCATAGTTCTTCAGGCAGTCTGTCTATCAGATCTAATTCTTTAAATCTATTTGTCACCTCTACTGTGTATTCATCAGGGATATGATTTAGGTCATACCTGAGTGGCCTAGTGCTTTTCCCTACTTTCTTCAATTTAAGCCTAAATTTTGCAACCAGAATTTCATGATCTGAGCCGCAGTCAGCTCCTGGTCTAGTTTTTACTGACTGTATAGAGCTTCTCCATCTTTGGCTGCAGAGCACATAGTCAATCTGATTTCTGTGTTGACCATCTGGTGATGTCCATGTGTAGAGTCGTCTCTTGGGTTGTTGGAAAAGAGTATTTGCTATGACCATCGTATTCTCTTGACAAAATTCTACCAGCCTGTGCCTTGCTTCATTTTGTACTCCAAGGCCAAACTTGCCTGTTATTCCGGTTATCGTTTGGCTTCCTACTTCAGCATTCCAATCCCCCATGATGATAAGGACATCATTTTTGGTGTTAATTGTAGAAGGTGTTGTAGAACTGGTCAACTTCAGCCTCTTCAGCACCTGTGGTTGGGGCATAGACTTGGACTACTGTGATGTTGAATGGTTTGTCTTGGATTCGAACTGAGATCATTCTGTCATTTGGGGGATTGTATCCCAGTATTGCTTTTCCTACTCTTTTATTGATTATGAAGGCTACTCCATTTCTTCTGAGGGATTCTTGCCGCAGTAGTATACCTGACGGTCATCTGAATTAAATTCATCTATTCCTGTCCATTTTAGTTCACTGATTCCTAAGATGTCGATGTTCAGTCTTGTCATCTCTTGTTTGACCTCATCCAGCTTGCCTTGATTCATGGATCTTACATTCCAGGTTCCTATGGAGTATAGATCTTTGCAGCATCGGACTTTCTTTTCACCACCAGATACATCTGCAACTGAGTGTCCTTTCGGCTTTGACCCAGTCGCTTCATTCTTTCGGGTGCTACCAGTACTAGCCCTCTGCTCTTCCCCAGTAGCATATTGAACACCTTCCAACCTGAGAGGCTCCTCTTCCAGCGTCATATCTGTCCATGGGGTTTTCATGGCAAAGATACTGGAGTGGGTTGCCATTTCCTTCTCCAGTGGATCACGTTTTGTCAGAGCTCTCTGCTATGACCTGTCCGTCTTGGCTGGTCCTGCATAGAATAGCTCATAGCTTCACTGAGCTACGCAAGCCCCTTTGCCACGACAAGGCAGTGATCCATAAGTGGGCCTGGGCAAAGAATGATGCCTTCAACAGGTGCTCTCCTGCAGATCTTAATAATCAGACAGGTTCATGATAAGCCTTATTGCCCTAAAACCACTAATTCAGCTGTTTTAAAGGAATAAGTGTGTGGAATCATCATAGAAATTCAGTAATATTAACAGCACCAACCCAAAGTGTTTTTTATTAATATTACTGATCACTTGAGCAAATGCAGTGATTAAGAGAGTAATAGAGAGCCATTTTGGCTAAAGGAGCAGGATAGAAATCTAATAAATAAAAGTAGGGAGAAAGTGCAGTGATACAAGGCATATATTTTGAAGGATGTTATCTCATGTTGAATGTAGGAAGCTATCTACTGACTTAATCTATTAAAATATTCTTCACTGCTTTTAGTCATTTATTACATTGAATTGTCATTGAATGTCATTGATTTGCATGATCTATACATTTACTTACTAGAATTCATTAACCAGAATAAATAGAACTGAGATCTCTGTCACCCTACAATACTTTCAGTGATTAAAAAGCTTATATTAAAGCTTTTAAACTAATAAACAGCTTTGCTGCCTCAATTAAAAATACTTGCTGTTTACAGTACTTTGTGCTTGCTTTAGATTTGCACTTGTCTCTGAGAAATTATTAGTGTCTCAATTCTAGTAGGCTGGATGTCCAGCTGAGCAAGCCGCACTGCTTCAGCATGAATCCAGAGAG